AAAGCACAGTTAGCAAGTTAAGGACAGTTAGCAGGAAGCCTGCCACGGCCATGTGGTTTGAAAGCAATATAAGTGTCTGTGTTTACTTGGTTGGGTCTGAGCGGCTGTGGGACTGGCGGGTGACAGAGGTTTGTCCTGACTGTGGGCAAGGCGAAAAAAATCAAGCTACAGCCAGCAACCATAATTTCCTTCCAGTGACCTCAGAAGTCAGTGCAGGTTGGGATAGCTGCTCACTAGGCAGCCAGGTGACCACATGGAGTCAAATCCCTTGGTCACCCCTTTGACCTAATGAGCCTGTTGGAGGCAGGCACCACACTTCCCAAGTAGTACAGTGTACCATCTATAGTCTGTGGTTAGAGCCACAGACCCAATGTAGCCTCTGAGACCTGAACAGGATAGACTATGGGTGACCACTGAAACCTCACAAATCAGCACCGCACACCCATTATGACCTCACACCACTGGAACCAGGGCTCTGGTCTCTGCACTGTCCTCAATGTTTCAGTCCTGGGCTATGCTCAGGGAACCTCACACCTTATTACAGAGATCTTTGTACCTCGTGTTTATTGCTTGTAAATTCTCAATTGTAAAGAACCTGAATCAATGTACAGGTCCATGAACATATCAATAGAAAATAAGTTGGTAAAGGCTTTATCATTTTGGAGGAGGGGATGAGAGGGTGGGGGGCACAGAGTAGGGCAGTGGGAAGAGGGATGAGAGGGGGAATCTGTGCTTGGCACATGAAACAAAAAAATTTAATAAAAAAAAACAAGTTGGTAAACATAAATGTGTATGTTTATTGTACACACAGAGGGGATACTATTTAACTCTAAAAAAGTATAATCACAAAATTTACAGAAAAATAGATGGACACGTAATGTATGTAAGTTGAGATCACCCGTCATACGAAGAAATACACTGCATGTTCTCCCTGATATGGTTAGTATAGACAGCAATATATGTATACATGCAAAGAAATGTGTATGTGCATATACTATGTAAAGTAAAAAAAAAAGAGAATAAAGGTTAAATATTAGGGGATGAGGAAGATTTTAGGCAGGTAATGAGTGCGGGTTTTGTAAGAGGACATTACTGATTTTCAGGTTCCAACTCTGATATGGATTTTAGTTTCATGGTGTATAAATGCATAAAATATATTCAGTGCAGGCAGTGTCAAGTCCAAAGTAAATGCTTCAGATTCTGTTCTGAATGTCCATTCTAAATGCACAGAAATTCATGATCTGTAGTATAACAGGGTTTCTCTTGAGCCATCAACGAGCTCTGAAATCATGACATGGAGACTTATTAGTTATGAATGCTTGGCCTTAGCTTAGGTTCATTTCTTGCTGGCTCTTATAACTTAACCTGTTTCTCTTCATGTACATTTTGTGTCAGGGCTTTTTACCCTTCTTTTGTTCTATATATCTTGCTTTCCTGCTGTATCCATTGTTTACTGGAGCTTCCTGACCTCTGGTCCTGGTGTGTCTCTCTCTGCCTTGTTCTCTTCTCCTTTTCCTCCATCCTAGATTTCTCTTGCCATTTTTTCTCTCTGCCTTCAAGCCCTGCCATCCCACTCCTGCCCAGCTATTGGCCATTCAGCTTTTTATTAGACCAATCAGGTGCCTTAGGTAGGCAAGGTGAAACAAATGAACACATCTTTACATGATTAACAAGGAAGCAGAAACAAATGTAACACATCTTTATATAGTTAAAGTAATATTCCATAGCATAAACAAATGAAACACGTATTTAGCTAGTTAAAATAACATTCCACAACACTGTAGTTTTCAGGTCTTGTTAATTTTCACATATGAACTTTTTTTACTTTCAAAATAATGGGGTTTAAAATTAAAAAGAGAAATGAGAAATGCCAGCTGAGTTTCAGAGTCCCTGCTATACTTAGTCCTGAGATTATATATTGTCAGCAGTCAAAGTAAGGGCACTTTCTTACCCAGTGGCTAATTTTTGCCACAAAGAAAGTAAGCTCCATAAGGAGTTTCTTCTATGCCCATCATTTTCTTTGAAGTAGATTCATGCTGCCAGGAGCAGACATGTCTCTTATCATAAAAAAAGAAAAAAAAATCTACGTTATTGAAATACCTTAAATGCCATATTCTGTAGATCTCTGAAGTGTTTGAAGTTTGAATGACTCCACTGGGAAAAAGAACAGTAACTATGACACAGCCTAGTCCTTAGATTCCAGGCACCAAATGGACAAAGTTAGGACATGGTGAAGGTTTCATGGAACATTTATAGTTACAAAAGAAAGAGACTCATTAATCAAGGCAAATTTCAAAGATATTGCTTGAACAAATTGATGGGGGTTACAGCAAAGAGATGCTTATAATTTTCTCTGGTGACATTCTTAGCATTTGTGCTCTTGGAAGTTGGATGTTCATGTTAACGTTCCAAAATAATTAACTTAATATTCTCCACTATGGATTCATTAGAGGTGGGTAAGATCTGAATAGTTAGCAAAGATTTTACTACACTTCACACACTCATGGAATTTGTAGTCAGAATGAATAGTTTGATGTGTTTTAAGGGTTGAAGAAGTAAACTTAAGACAGTTTTAGGATTTCTCTCCTGTATGAACTCTCTTGTGTTTCATAAAGCCTGAGTGATACCGAAAGTCTTTGCCACATTCTTCACACTTGTACAGTTTCTCTCCAGTATGAAGTGTTTGATGTTCCTGAAGATCCCTAGAAGAGGAATATCGTTTGCCACATTGTACACACATATAAGGATTGACTTCAGAATGGATAATTTGATGTCCTCTAAGGGATGAAGATGAGTAAAAACATCTGCCACACTCTTCACACTTGTAGGGGTTGTTTTCCCAGTGAATTATTTGATGTCGTCTAAGGGATGATGATAAGGAAAAACATTTACCACACTCTTCACACTTGTATGGTTTCTCTCCAGTATGAACTGTTCGATGTTCCTGAAGATGCCTAGAACAGGAAAACCGTTTGCCACATTGTACACACATATAAGGATTGTCTTCAGAATGGATTTTTTTATGTCCTCTAAGGGATAAAGATGAATAAAAACATCTGCCACACTCTTCACACTTGTAGGGATTGTCTTCCCAGTGAATTGTTTGATGTCGTCTAAGGGATGAAGATAAGGAAAAGCACTTACCACACTCCTCACACTTGTATGGTTTCTCTCCAGTGTGGACTGTCTGATGCTGCTTAAGGTGTGCAAAGTAAGAAAATCCTTTGCCACACTCTTCACACTTGTAGGATTTCTCTGCAGTGTGAATTTGTTGATGTACCTGAAGGAATGATGGTTCATAAAAAGCTTTGCCACATTCTTCACATTTGTAGGGTTTCTCTCCAGAATGAATTCGCTGATGCACCTGAAGGAATGATAGCTCATAAAAAGCTTTGCCACATTCTTCACACTTGTAGGGTTTCTTTCCAGAATGGATTCTTTGATGTTGCTTCAGCATTGAAGGATAGTAAAATAATCTGCCACATTCTTCACATTTGTAGGTTTTTTCATCAGTATGATTTTTCTGGTGTATAAAAAGTGATGCTCGAGTATTAAAAGCCTTACGACATATTATACACATATAAGGTTTTTCTCCAGTATGAAGTCTCTTGTGTATGGAAAGTGTTTTATGAGAACTTAGGCCCTTTCCACATTCATCACACTTGTAGAGTTTTTCCTTTGTATGAATTCTCTGGTGTTGAATATGCAGTGGGTTACAATCAATGGCTTTGTTGTAAATGTTATAATCATTAGGTGTTGTTCCTATAGAGTAAAAGTTGAGACATAAACAAAGGCTAGGAAATATTCTTTATACTTAATGTTTCTATTTTTTTTTTTTTTTTTTTTTTTTGGTTTTTTCGAGACAGGGTTTCTCTGTGTAGCTTTGCGCCTTTCCTGGAACTCACTTGGTAGCCCAGGCTGGCCTCGAACTCACAGAGATCCGCCCGCCTCTGCCTCCCGAGTGCTGGGATTAAAGGCGTGCGCCACCACCGCCCGGCTAATGTTTCTATTTTTAAAAGGAAACATTTACTCATACATATTGAAACATCAGTGAGAAACTACAGTACACTTCAAAACCTATAGGCAGTAAGCATTAATGATAAAATCTTGTAGGTAGAAATAGTCTATACATCTACTAGAATAAAGGCACAACCAAATAGAACCCAGATATATGGCAAATTATTCAAACTTAAATAGCTAAGATGTCAGTGCATTTCACTAACAGAAATAAACCAATAGAGATGTTCTATGGCCAGACACCCATAAAATTATAAAGAAACTAAGCCAGAAAACGAGAAAGATAATTTGACTGTGTGAATTTGTATCATCTAAATACAAAATAACTATCCTTCATGTAGAGTTTTATTTTGGAAGGTACAAAAGATATGCTGCACAAGAAGTAGGTGATACACAAAAATATTGAATTTATAGCTCATATATTCAGTACAATATGTTATGTTTTATTTGGATGAGAAGAAAATATATATCTGAAACATTTTGAGTCATGATAAGAATCTTCAGGATCACCTGTGCATTACACAAATTTTATCGGAGACAGCATATTCGTCAGTGACTAGATGACAAATTTACTTGTCTCCTTTTTTGTTTGTTTTTGCTTTTTCAAGACAAGGTTTCTCTGTATAAACATTGCTGTCCTGGAACTCACTATCTAGACCAGGCTGGCCTCAAACTTAGAGATCCACCTACCTCTGATAGTGGAGGATACCGAAAGGATCCCTATACCTATACATGCCACCCAACTGGTATACGAACTACATGCTAGTTTAAATGGCCATGCCCTGTCTCCTGTTTTTTAATTTCCTCCTTTCAACAAAGCTAATCCCAGAGCTGAGATGTCAATGCCTGATTGTGTAAGGAGTCCTCAGCAAAGTGGTAGATAATATATGACAGAGGCTCTGCCACGGGTCCAGTCAGAAGAGTCAGCAGATCTGTCAAACACTTCAAAGACCTACAGAATGTGGCATTTAAAATTGTTTAATACATAAGGTTTTCTTGCCAGAAAAACACGTCTGCCTCTGGCAGCACCCATTTACTTCAAGGAAGATGATGGGCATTAAAGAATCTCCATATGGAGTGTGCTTTCTTTATGGCAAAAGCTAGCCATTAGGACAAAGAAACTGCCCTTGTGGTGATACTTTGTTTGTGCTCTAACCAATAAAGCTTGCCTGGAGATCAGAGGACAGAGCTAGCTACTAGTTAACCATAGAGGCCAGGCCCTGGTGCCACACACCTTTAATCCCAGCACTTGTGAGGAGGAAACAGGAAGTGATAAGGCTGGGTGGAGAGAGGAAGTGATAAGGCTGGGTGGAGAGAGGAAGTGATAAGGCTGGGTGGAGAGAAGAAGTGATAAGGCTGGGTGGAGAGAAGAAGTGATAAGGCAGGCAGAAACAGACGCTTGGTTCCTTTCCAGCAAAGGAGTGGGGAGGTAAGAAGTGGCTGAGCTAGCTCCTTCATCTCTCTGATCTTTCAGCATTTCCCTATATATATGTGTGTGTGTGTATATATATATGTATATATATATATACATACACACACACACACACACACACACACACACACACACACACACACATATATATATATAATCTGGGGAAATTAGTTAAAAGAGAATCTTATCACACATTAAAAAATGGGACACACTATTAGAATAGAGGGAGTTAGGTCTCTGCATGACAATATGCCAGACAGTTTGAAAAAGGAACAATTAAATGAGAGGATAATTAAGGTAGATGAAATTTACATAATGTCAATTTTAAATATTATCTGATCATTATTGTTTTATCACTAAAAATCTTGGTTAATATGAATGTTAAGTTACATCTGGTGCCCCAACATTTGTGGTAGTAATTCATGAAACAACCCACTTGCCTGTGGCCCTACAGGCCCCTGCTCAAGCCTAGGTGCACACAGCCAGTCTCCACTCCATGTGGGCCAGAGTCCCTAACCAGCTGAATCCAGTCGGAAGGTCTTTCACTTCTTTTCTCCTGGTGGGTGGTGGGCTCTCTCTGGATCCGCATCTCGGGCTGATACCATGCTAAATAACTGTCTTGAAACCTGCTTGGGCTTTTATAGTTCTATGCAGATGAGTAAGCCTCACCTCTAGGTCATCACTGTTGGCAAATTTGGTGAGTCAAGATTTCTTAAAGGGAGAAATTAGTTAAAAGAGAATTTTTTAACATTTTTACAATGGAGGGATATGGTGATATTTTATTTGTATTAAAATGCTATTTGTATGTTAATAAATAAAGTTGCCCGGGGGGTCAGAGCTATTAGCAAGCCATAGGAAAGCAGGGCAGTGGTGGCATATGCTTGTAATCCCAGCACTTGGTAGGCAGAGCTAGGTAAGTCTCTGTGTGTTCAGGGATACAGCTAGTATTGGATACACATGCCTTTAATCTCAATACCAATCATAGAAAACCTGGAGGTCTATACAGACAGGCCATGACGAGGCAGTCATGTGGTTGGGTTTACAACCAATGAGAAGGCAGAACAGAAACACTATAAAAAGACAAACACACAGGAAGTAGTTCTGGTTCGGAGAGGTAGGACCACTGCAGGAGGAAGGGTAAGGTTTTAGCTCTTAGCTCTGACCTCTTGGCTTTCTTCTTTGCATCGGTTCTGTGTTTCTTATTTAATAAGACAGTTGGTTACATCTACAGAGGGAATTTGGTTTATAACACATTATGTGGTCTGAAAATGGAACAATTAAATGAAAGGATAATTAATGTTGTTGGGATTTATATAACATCAATTATGAACATTATTTGTTTGGTCATTTTTGTTTTATCATTAAAAACATTAGTTAATTTGAGTGCCAAGATAAAAGTTTTAGAAAACTTGTTAAAACAAATCATAGAGAAATTCAGACCCAGACAGAAGAATTTAAAGGAGCACCTATCTCAGCATTGAATTATATGGTTACAAAGAAACAGCTGAAGATTTTCAAACAGCTCACCTTAATCTATCCAGTAACCTTACAGGAACTGCCAAATGCTCAAGGCTGTATAAGCTAACTGGGATACTGTGGAAATGATAGATTTGAGGAGATTTAAAGAAGCTATAGTCTGCCGGGCGGTGGTGGCACATGCCTTTAATCCCAGTACTAGGGAGGCAGAGGCAGGCGGATCTCTGTGAGTTCGAGGCCAGACTGGTATACAAAGTGAGTTCCAGGAAAGGTGCAAAAACTACACAGAGAAACCCTGTCTTGAACCTCCCCCCGCCCCCAAAAAAAAGAAGAAGAAGCTATAGTCTTATATGGCATGCGTTCTCCATTTGTAAAGCAGATGTTAAACTCATGGTCAACTTGTAATAGAATTATCCCTCAAGACTGGACAGATTTGGTTACAGTTGTCCTCGAGGCTGGTCTGGTGAAAAGAGGAGAATAACACTATAGAACAATGATGCAGGGCTAGAGATATGGCAATTTCCCAAGATCAACTTCTCTGGTGACTATGCTAATATACAAAGACAATCTTTATATGATGACCACATGCTAATTCTATGCCACATGGCACCCTTGAATGCTTGGGACAAAATTGAAGAAGTAGGAAAGAAAATTGAGTCATTTACTAAAGTTATACGGACCCCTAAATAAACCTTCATGGATTTTTTTTTTATTTTTACAAAGGCTATATTCAGCAATAAATAGAATGATACCAAATTCAGAAGCTAGATAGATAATAATTGAATGTCTGGCTTTTGAAAATGCTAATGTACAATGCAAAATGCTAATTAGGCCATTAAAGGCAAGATCAGCACCCTTGGAGGAATGGATCTGAGATACAATTAATATTGATTCTCAAGACCATGATGATACTTGGATAGGAGAGGTGATTTCCAGAGGCCCCCATGGCAATTTCAGTTCAGTCCTTTCCTGCCATCATAGAAGAAGCCCCTTCCAGAGCAATTAAATAACCAAATGTCTATTGTAAAAAATCATACCAGTGGGTTGATGGAACAGCTACAGCACAGAGAACAAAAAATGTAGGATATAAAATAGGTAATTTGTTCAAAACCTTAGAGGGTGACAAGAATTTAAATAGCCCAAGAGAATTATCAGCTAAAGATGAGAGAGAATTGGCTTTGGTGAAAAAAAAAAATTATAGGATGCACATGTGGATCATTTGGATCCAGAGCTTGATTGCATTCTGTTTATTTTACCCTCTACACATTCTCCTACATGAATTTTAATGCAGAGGGAAGATAATATCTTTGAATGGATATTTTACCACATAAACAGAGCAAAAATAGGAAAATTAAGATTTCATAATAAGCAGGATTAGACCCAGTGGAAATCACCTTTTACAAATAATGAAATTTTCTCTTTAGAGGCAGAACATGAAGACTGGCAAAGAGCTTTCAGTAATTTTTGAGGGAAGATTAACATCAAATATACCAAAAGCAAGAGAATTAAATTTATAAAACGAACTAACTCAATTCTTCCTCACATTGTAAGGGGAACATCAATTTCTGGAGGCACTACATTTTATACTGATCAAAACAAATCAGGAAAGGCATGTTATAAATCATAAAATTTAAGTTAAGTATCCCAAATCTCTTATGATTCTGTTCAAACGTCAGAATGATATGCTATTCTTATCATATTAATGGATTTTACAGAACCCCTTAACATAGTTATAGCCTCTCTGTATGCAAAAAGAGTTTTTTTTTAAACATTTAAACTGCTGAATTTATTCCTGATGATTCCGAATTAACTTTGTTACTTATACAATTACAAGAAATAATCAGGAATAGAAATCACCCCTTATATATAACACACATCAAATCCCATATGGGTCTGCCAGGCCCTCTAGCAAAAGGTAATGATGAAATGGAGCAACTATTGATAGGAAATGTGCTGGAGGCATCAGAATTTGATAAAAATAAAAACAAAACATTATGTCAATAGCAAGGGTTTGAAAGGGGATTTTTTATCACTTGACAACAAGCCAAGGAAATTATAAGAAAATGTCCTACTTGTTCTTAATACAACCAAACTCCACTGCCTGCTGGAAGGAACCCAAAGGGTACTCAAAATAATGAAATCTGTCAGATGGAAGTTTCATTTCCTGGAATTTAGTAAATTAAAATATGTATACCACACCACTGATACCTATTCAGGATTTCAATGGGCAACTGCTTTGAGTTTCAAAAAGGCTGATTCTGTAATCACAGATTTGTTAGAAGTTATGGCCATCATGGGTCTACCTGTACAAATTAAGACTGACAATGCTCTAGCATATGTCTCTAGTAAAATGAAACACGTTTTTGCTTATTACAATATAAAGCATAATTCAGAAACACCACACAAACCAACAGGGCAAGTATTTCAGAAAGATGAAATTGAACTCTAAAGGATATGCTAAATAAATATAAAGGGGTAATAAAGACCCCCAGAAATAGATTGCATAATGCTTTATTAACTTTGAATTTTCTACATGCTAAGGAGAAAGGAACAACAGCTATGAAGAGACATTGGATATCAGAACTTGATAATTATCCCAACATTTTTCAGCATACCATAAAGATTCCATTACCCTCAGATAGCAGGAAGTATATTTAAGAACATGATACCCATATTCCCAAGAGGTAGGGTTGGTAGTTTTAGGTCATTCAATGGGTTATGTATATTTGTCACCATTTAGAGTGGTTGGTTACATGTTATTGGTAATGATCAAGAAAAAAAGTTGAACAAAGGAGATTCAATTCAGAGATCTTGTTTTGTAAAGAAAAATGGGGATATAGATATGATAGGATAAAAGGGTAGGTTACTCAATCTACTCTGAAAAGAAAAAAGAGGGTATAGATATGATAGGATAAAAAAGTAGATTATTGAGTCTACTTTTAAACAAAAAGAACAACTACTAGTTTTAAATACCTGACATTGGTTCATATTTTTGTATATTGATACAAATTTGAGGTTATATTTGTTAGAACATACTGTACATACATTTCTAATCTTGTTCAAGGTATTGTACTTATGCAACTAATTTAACAATGTAATGCAGATTATTAGTCCTCAAAAGTTATTATTATAAACTATTTAGGATAATAAAGAAATGCAAGGTTATTAGTTAGTCACCTATTACAATCAAATTTGTAGTAGGTTAGGTATGTTTTCAGGCTCAAAGAGAGATATATTTTAGATACACAGGTCATGTTCAAACAATTAATAGATCTATAGAATGTGACATTAAAGATGTTTTCATAACATAGGTTCTTTTTTTTTTTTTAATAACAATGAGATGTGTGTGGTCCTGGCAGCACCAATTTACTTCAAAGAAGATGATGGGCATTGAAAAAAATCTGTATGGAGTTTATTTTCTTTATGGCAAAAGCTAGCCATTGACAAGGAAACTGCTATTACCTCAATTGCTGACAGTATACTGTCCAAACTGGACTAATAGTATACAAAACAGAATGACTACCAAACTTTGCCAAGACAAGGTAGAACAGTTCTTCAAAATTCCCTGCTTCTCAAAAATGTCTGTCCAAATATTCTAGGCTTATAGGCCAAAGATGAATGTCTCAGTGTTACAGAAGAACTTTGGGTGACTGTCCAGGCAATCAGAAGTCCCCGTTGTTAGGTAAGATTTCACCCTTCTGGGGTCTTTGATTGAATTAAAGACTAAATAATTAGACTTGAAGTTTTCCTTAGTTATGATAAAAGGTAAATTAGATATAAAAGTTTTTTGACTCACAAAGATAAGATAGCTAGTAAAATACTTTCTCTAAATTTGCCAAATACAAATGAACTGGTTATTGTAACTGTAATGCTTACTTGACAACTGTTTTTGTTATAGTTTTACTATGTTAAAATTAAATCCTTCCTTTTTAATTAGACAAAAAGGGAGAAAAGCTGTGGAATAATTCTTCTGCACACTGTGAAGAGGTATTGTTTGCAGAATTTTAGGGGCAGAGAGAATGTTGGGAAGGGAAAGGGCAGAGCCAGAGGAGTCATCAGGATACAGAGGAGAAGGAGATAAACATGTGATATGAAGAAAAGGTACAGCCATATGGCAGAGAATTAATAGGACATATGAGTTAATTTAAAATAAAACAGCTAGTCAGTAATAGGCCTGAACTATCAGCTGAGCATTTATAATTAATATTAATTCTTCAAGTGGTTATTTGGGAATTGCTAGTGGGATAGAGCTGATCATGGTCCCAATGAAGAACACCACCTACACTCCTTAGCCTTACTGCAATTACAAATCTAGAAGCCAATAAAAATGTACACTTTAAAGAAGTTTGAGAATCAGCAGGAGACACTGAGAAGGGACCACCAGATCACTTCCTACCATTGGACTCATGCTAATGTTAATTATAATGCTTCCTATCGGGCTGGCCACAGTGGCTACCCTGACTGGATCTGAAACAAAACATTTTACTAGTTCTCATGTATCTGGGAATATCAGGTTTATACATAAAAAATTATAATTTTTCAAACAAGCTGTGACTTGGAATATATCCAAATAAGAGTTAGACCTAATATATGACAAATGTGTTAAAAAAAAAAAAAACAACTCAAAAAAGCATGCAGCCTCACAACACAATGAAAAGCCTAACACTACTAACAGCCACGGAGGAGAGGCACACAATCACTGTACCAAAACTGGTTTGCTAGGCATCCCTGAGTCAACAGTGCAAGGCCCTGTAGCTCATCTTGTCTTCCTCTTCCCGACTAATGGTCAGGCCCTGCTGAATCAACTGTTGGTAAAAGTGTTGAGAAAACCAAAGAGCCTTTGTTAAATCAGGGTACCTAATGGCCCAATACAACCCCATTACACAACATGTTAATGTTTTGAATCATCCCTAAGATCATTTTGGAAAGAACTATCCAAAGTGACTACTTTGCATGAGTTTTATCCAACTGCTTCCCTCCTTCAAATTGTTCTAATCAGTAGAACTGAAAGTGTTGAGGTTTCTGTCTCTGCCTGCTTCTCAGCAATGGAATTGTGGGTTTGGCTTAATAAACCCAATCATGCTCACTTTGGTGTAGAGATCTTTCTGGTATGAGTCTATTCTCAACCTCTGCAAATAAATGACTCTCAGTCTGACCAGCACTGAGTTCTCTTTCCCTGAGTTTTACACTATAACGGAGACTCAACAACAACAATAACAACAACAAAAACAAAACAAAATAAGACAAACACAAAAACCTTGGAAGTCACTGTAAATAGAAGCACAGCTCTCTGTTGGGGAAATACAAAGCTTAAGAGATTCAAACAACATAAACAACTAAGAGATGTATTTGACAACAAAGACAGGAAGGAGAGACCTAAAGAATGATTACCATAGAATCATGTTTCAAGGCACATGGGAAAGCCTGCCTTTCTGTTAAATATTTGGACCTCAACTCTGCCCCCAAACCCTTCATTCCTACACACCTGGATGCACGTTGGCTGCTGCTTGTCTCTGCACATATGAAGGCTCTTGTCTTTGCTCCAAAAATGTCACTAGGTGTGGCTTTGACACAATAAGACCTGTTTGTAGGAAAAGGGGAGAAGATTGTTTATGTGTTTTGTTTTGTTTTTCTGAGACAGGGTTTCTCTGTGTAGCTTTGTGCCTTTCCTGGAACTCACTCTGTAGACCAGGCTGGCCTCGAACTCACATAGATCCACCTGCCTCTGCCTCCCAAGTGCTGGGATTAAAGGCATGCACCACCACCACCGAGCTGTTTATGTGTTCTTTTACTTGGAATTAACCTGTCCTTTCCAGTACATGGCTTATAGGGAAAGAGATGATGTAATACATGATTGCAGACAATCAGTTCCTTAAATGTTTTCTGACAGGATCACTACACTACATAAAGGAATTTACAACTTCCATATTCTGAGGTTCATTTAAAAGGGAAAAGAACATTAAAACTGAAGTGTGAAACACTTTAACTAATAAGTGTACTCCATGTGTCATGTCACTGAATTTCTAACAATCCCACTAGAGTGAAGGAAACATAATTCCAACATAGAAAGGTTAAACACAAAAAGAGAACAATAGGGAAATGATTAATTATTGACTTTTTATTTTTCATACGCATTGGCGTTTTGCCTGCATGTATGTCTGTGTAAGGATGAAGCTTTAATCTAATTAACTTTATCAATAAAAAAATCAGGAGGCAGATATTGGGGAAAGAACCTGGAAGATCAGAGAAGCCTGGGAGCAGCCACCACTGACTTGCTGCCTCTTCCATTCCTCCATCCGAAAGGGCCGAGATCCTGTCTCAGCCCCGCCTTACCACTTCCTGTCCCTCTCTACAGTCCTCCAAACCTCTATGGTCAGACAGTGGCTAGCTCTGTCCTCTGACTAAAGCAAGCTGTATTTGTCAGAACACAAAAAAATATCACACAGCATGAGGGTGACAGGTCTTGGGATCACAGACAGTTGTAAGCTGCATATGGGTGCTGGGAAATGAATCTGGGTCCTCTAGAGAAGCATTCAGTACACTTAGCAACTAAGCAATCTCACCAGCCCCAAAATGATTTTTAATACAGCAATCTCCCTAATTTTTCTGAAAACAAAGGATATGAAAATGGCTGTTGAAATGCTCCCATGAGATACCATACAAAGTGAGGAAGCTACATGTTGATGGTGAAATGAGAATTCACTATGGATGAGAGCCTCACCAAGGAACACAAGGTTGCTGTAATTCTCCAACATCACATCCCTGTACAAATTCCACTGAGCAGGCTCCAGGCATTCCCTTTCTTCTGGAGAGAAATCAATGGCCACATCCCAAAAAGACAGCATTTCCTGAAATAAAGATCAATGAATGATACCACACTTTAGTTTAATTAAAACTATTAATATAAATACCAAGATGCATTGGGCTGGAGAGTTCTCCTGTCAACTTGACACTAGCTAGGGTCATTTGATAACAGAGAAACATAATAGAGAAAATGCCTACCTGAGACTTCCTGTAGCTAATCCTAGGTGGCATTTTACTAATTACTGATTGAAATGACATAGCACAGCCCGTTATGGGTGGTACTTGTCCTGGGCAGGCAGTTCTATATGGTCTAGGAAAACAGGCTGGGCAAGTCAGTAAGCAGTGTTCTTCTGTGGCTTCTGCCCTAATTCTTGCCTCAGGATCCTGCCTTGACTTCCCTCAGTGATGGACTGTTACCTGAAGTTGTAGTCTAAAATAAACCCTTTCTTCTCCAAGATGTCTTTCATCATGGTCTTGATCACAGCAATAAAAATCCTAACACAGGCATTATGTGCCTGTGGACAGAAATCTAAATTTTTCACAGGAGGAAAGAGAGCTGAAAATGTTTCTTACATAGGTGAGTAATATTCTTCATACTCTCTGAAATGGTCACATGATCTCAAACTGGACCCATCTTCAAGGAAAGACAATGTAAGAGATCCTATAAGCCCAGTTGGACATAATCCATTTAAGACAGATGAAATGTAAAAATAAATGCATCCAAAAACATCAATTTAGTGCCCTATGCTATTATGCACCACACACACATTTCTATCAGGAGGAAGTCATGGTGGGGGAGAAGGAATTTCTCAACAGTTGATAAGCACAATCACGAATGTGAGGTGAAATGAAAATACAGAGTCTGATGCAGCAGCTCGGGCTGTCATCTGGGTTTCAGGATCTACAGATTCACTGATGATACAAATGATGGTGACAAGGGACATGAGAAGGAGCAGGCAGGGGCAGAACTCACAGACTGAATGTCATTTACGTATCTGATCATGTGAGAAAACAGGCAAGTACAAGACTAACAACACTGTTGAGATTTAACATAGAATAGACATCACTGGATCTTTTTGCCATTTTCCCTTGCTGTCTTTTCTCTGACGGGTATTAACTGATATGTTTGTGATATTCTTAGAGCACGTTTTGCACATATGAAATCTGTGCATCACTGTGATGAAGCTGAGCAATATAATTGCTGAAGCTATTTTTGTATATCAAATGTTTCTAACTTTAGAAGTTATGTTTTTCATATTTTATTGAGTAAAGTCCAAGAATGACCTATGGGAATAGTCACACATTATTTCTCCTTTTTATCAATACACAAAATATTAGTATTTTATGTAATATTGAGGTATTTTTTTAATAACTTCATGGTTAACCTTTGGATCCTCTTTATCAGTTATGATATGGTCACCTCTTCAAACACTATCTTCCAGGCATCTGAAATGCACCCTACATAATGCTTACACACATCCACCATTCCGGACAACAGTACTGGGGGCTTCTCCCTCCTTTCACAGTGTCCCAGAGCATTCATTGCTCAGAAAGTGTAGCTGACATTTTTCTTTGGGATACAAACCAGCTCCCAAATAATGACATGGAGACTTCTTATTAATTATGAAAGCTTAGCCTTTAGTTTATGCTTGTCCCTCTAGCTTTTATAACTTAACTTAATCTGTTTCTATTCATCAGTTTTGCCTTGTTGCTTTTACTTTTCTTTCATTGTTTATGTCCTGCTTTCCTGCTTCCTCATGTCTGTCCAGCTGGCCCTTGGCATCTCCCTCTGTCTCTGTCTCCCCGATTCCTCCTCTTGCTTTTTTTGCACTGAATTCCCACCTGTACCTCTTGGCTAGTTATGGGACATTTAGCTTTTTATTAGATGAATCAGGTGCTTTAGGCAGGCAAGGTAAACAAATGCAATACATCTTTACATAGTCAAACAAATATTCCATAAACAAATGCAAAACATCTTTACATAGTTAAACTAATTTTCCACAACAAGGAAGTCCCAAATGTTGGCTTCCTGATGTCACTGGTCAAGGGAAAATACTGATATATCTCCAACTTCTGTTACCTATGATTCTTTATTTTTAACATATCTCTTTCTTACATAAGTCTCAATTCATTACATTTAACATTTGATGAGATCATGTGTTGTTTACCTTTACTGCCTAAAATAACTTACAGTTTCACCAATATTGTCACAAGTGGCAAGAGTGTAATTTTTCTCCGAAAAAATTAAGTTAAAATATAAGTATGTCATTTCCCCTCTATCTCATCATTGCAACTTCTCTCATGTCCCCCTACAGTCCATCTCAAACACATAGTGTATACTTCTGTAATTATTATTGTTACACACAAACAGCACATAAATAGACATATATGTAAAGATATAGATAACTATATAAATATGGATGGCTGATTCTGTTCACTGTTGACTGTCTGTATGTTTTGAGGACTGACCACTTGTTACTAGATGAACAGTGAGCACTCTCATCCCTGGGGAAGACTAATTCTCCCTCTCTCAGTAGTTCTCAGGTGCCTACATTTTGATGCTTACCCAGCAGACTGCCCCCTGCAGGGGATCTTGTGCCACTGTCACTGTTCAGGTCTTGTTCAGGCAGCCATGTGGTTGGGGTATCATGGATGCAGCTTCCCTTCACTTTCTAGAAGGCACAACCTCACAGCGGACTTCCTGGACCTCTGGCTCTCATAATCAATATGCCCCCTCTGCAGAGATATTCCCTGAGCCTCATGTGCAGGGATTGTGGTGCAGGGTATCTTTTGGGTCACAGCACCTCAGACAACAGTCCTGTGCACTTTGTAAGTTTTAGTTTTCTGGAATGTTCTCTGTGCTGCAGAAAGAAGTGCCTTTGATGAGCAGTGACAGTTACACTCAGTTAGGTCTAAGGAGAAGTACTTGGAGTGCAGTTAGGGATTATGACGGTTTAGTGGCCTTAGTATGTTCTCCTCCATGATTTAAGACCTAACATGTCATCAGAGGCAGCTCCAAGCATTCTGTAGGTCTCCTGTCCCCTCTAAGTCCCTTTGACAGCTGCCGCTAAGGCCAGGATGTGAGAGGCACTTCGACACTTTTAGAGATATGCCATATGGGTCATTGTTGTGGTTCATGGTTGTAACAGCTAAGCAGGACTATTTGTTGCTTCTCTCCCTTGGAGCTTTCAAAGCACCTTCCAGCACTGAGCAAACTCACCCTTAGACAGGAGACCTTCAGGTCAGATCCAGCTCCAATCCCCTCACTCTTGTGTCTGTAGGGCATGGTACAAGAATTTGGGACAAATGAAACATATCCTCCATGAAGAACGACTACATAGAGAAATGTCTTTAAATAAAGTGCAGACTTGAGCAGCAATGAGGAAGCCTGCAGATATTCGAGAAATGGCAGAATTGAGCAATTTGGTGAATAAAATACCCACTAACTTCCCAAGGGAAAAGAAGTTGAATCATTTTGGAATCTTCTTCGTAGCTAGTATAGAATGTTACCACCATGTTACCACCATTACTAAGCAAGAGAAAATCAGATCCCACTCTGTTTTAACTAGGGCACTGGTTCTCAAAATGTGGGTCATGACCTCTTTGGCAAACCATCATTGCCAAAAGTATTTACATTACAGTAAATAACCTTTGCAAACTTGCAGTTATGAAGCAGCAGGGGAAATAAGTTTAGGTTGGGGTCACCACAGTATGAGGAGCTGCACTAAAGGTCCCAGCATTAGGAAAGGGGAGACGACAGAACTAGGGGGTCACCAAGAAGAGGGAAAAATGACCACAGTGGAGGAGGGCCAGAGCCCAGAGAAGATGAAGATGGAATCTTGAACCCCTGAGAGAACCTGAGCAGTCCCCAAAGCAGGGTCAGCTGTAAGGACCACTCCCCACATTGCCCAGCACAGATAGCACCATTCTACATGGGGAAGTGTCTGCTGTCCTGGGCCAGTCTCCTGTGAGAAGCTGTGGGTGGAAGGTAGTGTGTCTGTGAACTGGATATCATTTAGTAAAGATTCTACCCAATTAAATTAACAGCAAGCATTTCAAGGGCCTTTGATACTGGCAAAGTTCACTTTAAATGGAGAAAAAAATGCAAATTATGTCTGCATAATTGCCATTCATTAAAAATTGTTACACATTCTTCCCATAATTAGGAAGTAGATATAGAACTCCACTTGAATGGTGGCTGGTTCTAGAAGCGAGCCTAGGACAACAAAATGGACAGGGTAGATGTAATAAGAACTCCTGAATCTTCTGACGGTGTCCCTTAGAAATATCTTTTCAGAGAGTCAGATAAAACTGAAGACTAGCAGGATATTGGTGGGAAGTCAAAATAATATGCAAAGAGAAGACTGGAATTCCAGTCAGAATCTAAAACATAGTGACCCTCCATTGAAAATCGCCGATCTACTGATTACATAAAGTGCTGCTCTCAATACGTAGCACGCACATCATGAAGACGCAATGCCTGGATCTTTGTCCCAGGACTTCAACTGTCCCACGAAACAATCACTAATTTTTGCTTCAAATCACCAAGTCATGCAATTTTATGATGCAGAAAGTTGGTTAAACTATGAAAAAATAGAGGAGACAAAATATAGTATTGGCTTTGGCTGGGCAGTGGTGGCTCGGGCCTTTAATCCCAGCACTTGGGAAGTAGAGGCAGTAGAATCTCTGTGAGTTCTAGGCCACCCTGGTCTACAGAGTGAGTTCCAGGACAGGCTTCAACGCTACACACAGAAACCCTGTCTCGAAAAGACCAATAAAAAAAAAAGTATCTGCAATATGTAATTATCATTTTAGTTTCAAAATAAGTATCACATGCTTTGCTCTGTACATTAGATGTCTAGATGTATTTTTGGATTTTATAGTCCATGTGTTGTTTCTGAGTCTTCTTAAAGCAACAGTATGTGGAATATATCCAATAAAGATTTAGGACATACACTCTAATAGATCTGACTTAAATTCATACAGATGCTGCAAAGAAGAGAACAATGGAATGCAGATTTTGAAAGAGTTGGTCATTGAACCACACACAACGTTCAACTCAAAATATGTTGCTGCATTCGATAATGACTCTGGAGGACACTAGGACAGGCACAAAGATAACCAGAGCTGACGATGTAATGAAAATCTGGGCTGCTCAGGTTTATTCCTTACATATGTATTTGACTTCTGTTCAAATCTTCTGCAATGTTCTCCACGGCTTCTGACATAATCATAAAGATCAATCGGCAGAAACTGAATGTCCTCACCCAGCACACCTCCCCTCCAGAGTTTTCCAGATATGACATGTCTAAAACAGCAAGGCTCATGCATGAGTTGTAGACACAAGGAACTCCCTCCCTCACACTGACATTAGAATACAATGAAAGAAGCCTGTGAGGAAAGAGACAGGACTGCTCAACAAGGGGAACTGGACTGGACCTATGAAGAGCAGGAACCAACATGAGCACTTTGCTTTACTGGTTGGACATGGCAGTGCCCATGTGAAGGACAGGGAGGAAGTGGTTTTGTTCTGGCTCACTGTAAGAAGCATCTGCACACAGTGGAACCTCTGGAGTAAGGACAGGGGAAGGTATCCCAGCTGCAACTGCAGAAAAAGACCCAGGAATGCAACCACAGCAGCCACATCAGTCAAGAACTGCAGAATGGAAATGAAGAAATAATGGAGTCTCAGATTAGAATGAAAGGAGCAAACTGGAAGAAACCAATGAAACCAGAAGAAATCAACATCAGGTCATGACAGTGATAAACACAGATTAATATCCAAAAAGAATGGATATTCACTATATTCAAGCCAGGCAAAGAGGAATTCTTCCTCACAGAGTAAATGAAAACATGTATGTAATCACAAAAATGTAATACCTATAAAAAAGCATGATAATGAAAAAGTTAAAATTACACATTAATGGGCCACAAAAGTTAAGCACAAGGAAGAAACATGAAATGAACAATAGAAGGTATTAATCATGTCCATAAAATACATTCAAGTCTGTCACAGACTCGGGTATCCAAGACACATTTGAAATTTGCTATGAAGCAGGGGAGGACCAGAGGTCCTGTCTCCCCTTCACAAATGTAGAGATGACAAGGATGTGCAATAGAGTAGACTGGAGTTTCTTTTTTATCACAGGTCACTTCACTTTAAATCACATGAATACACACAGTCTGTGAGTTCTTCCTCACCCTGCTGACCTGACACAAAAGCCTGGCACTGGAACACAAGGCCATGAGAGTTTTCCACCTGTTTCTAGGGACCTACTATTAGACAAACTCAATAATTTCAAGGCCAGATGAAGACATGCTGACAAAACCATTTTGGGACAATCGGACATAAGCACTCTCTTACAATTACTGGGGCCTAAATTAAAGACGGAGGACCTTTCAAAGAGTTAAGAAAACCCAGCCCTCAAGGAGAACCTGGGTTCAGCTTCTCTAGTCCCCAATCTGCTTTGCACTGGATCTTTCCTTCCATATGTCTGCAGAATGTGTGTTCTCTCACCCTAGTCAAAGCTTTTCTATAGCAGCTAATTCTGGTAGATCTGTCAGCTGTGTTCCAGAATTTCCCACGGGTGAACTGTTGGGACTTAGGTTTTTCCTCTCTTAATTCTTTACCTGTCAGACAAAATGACCACAATCAAGACCTCAAGACCGTTACACTAGGCCGGCTACAGAGTTCAGGAAGGACCAGACCCCGTTTGCTCTACAGATTCTGAGAAATCTGACCGCGTCCACGTGAGAACCGCTCAGCTACAGAAGCATGCTTCTCCACCAAAGCTGCTCACTGAGCTCCCAGCTCCACCTCAGGAGCAGGCAGTCAGCTGACCATCATGAGTTTGCAATCCCGGACTTGCACTATCATCTACTCCGCGCTACCAGGCAGCTTTCCTGTCCCGGAAGCCCAAGGTGGACTGGCTGCGCATGGCGTCCTAAGGAAACTGTCACTCAGGGCACAGTCCCTATCGCCCTCTCCCCAGCCCTGACCTGCAACCTCACGTGTCCCAGCCAGTTCAGCACAGCACCTCCAAGGCAGCTTCTTCCGCCCTCCCACCCAGCCCAGGTCTGCTCCCTCCAAGTCGGACCCCCGCACCCCGCACAGTGCGTTAGGCCGCGCTGCACCCCGGACCAACCTCCATGTCAGAGACGCAGAAGGAATGCAGAGCGGACGGGACTCTCGCCCAACTTTGGGGAAGACTCACGTGTGTGGACTAAACACTAGAAGGGGATTTCCTGGAGGGCTCCCTGTGATGTCACAGTCGCATGGACTACATTTCCCAGAAGTCTGAGCAAAGGAATTCCTGGACTCCTAGTGAAATGATGTTTATTCTTCCTGGATTAATTAGGCTGCCTGCAGAAGAGTTGGGAGGAAGAAATTGAGTCTGGTGGACAGCTGTTAGGCCTGAGAAAAGCCAGTTGCACCAATGTCTGATTAAAGCAAGCTTCGTTTTACAGGTGCACCGGGAACTGGTCCGTTGGCTTTCTCTCCCAAAGTCGGTATTTCAGAGAGCAGTCCCTCATTGCCTTCTGGGGTCCCTTAATGGGGCAGGGTTAGGGTTAATAGAAAACAGCTATCGAGATAATTGGCAGTTAGGAAAGATGAAATAAAAATAGCTGAACTTCAACAATACATCACATGGGAGGGGATTCATCAAGGTATCTGGACAAACACTTTTGTCATGTGAAAGTGCAATCATTTCACAGGGTTTTTTTGTTTGTTTGTTTGTTTGGTTTGTTTTTTTGTAATGGAAACAGTGGGCATACATCACAGAGTCACAACTTCAGAATAAGTTAAAACATGTTTTGGAGGGTCATTAGGCTTATAAAACAGAAACTTATTCTTGTAATGTATGGAGACTTAATAAGAGTGTATAAAAATGTGGTTTCTTGACAACAATGTGCCTACCGTTTTGGTTTCAAACAGCCCTGGGGAGTCAGTTTGGTGTTCACCTCCCTATCCACAGGAGAGGACAGGCAGGATTCATGGGAAGAGATGAATCCAGCTGCATAGAGACATCTGCTACTTGAGGACCAAGACAGGCATACAGAATGGTGGAGACATTGAAAGAAAAGCCATGGGGCAAAATGGAGATTAATAAAGGCAGGTTAAATTAAGTTATAAGAGCTAGCTGGTGAGAAGCCTAAGCTAAAGGCCAAGCATTCATGATTACGAAGAAGTCTCCCTGAAACTGTTCCTCATGCTGGATTACCTTGCCCAGCTTTTATGCAGGAGGAGGAGCTCAGTCCTCCCTCAACTTGTGTCATGCTTTGTTCAAGCACATGGGAGACCTGCCCCTTTCTGAATGGAGACAGAGGAGGAGTGGATGGGGAGGGGGATAGATGTGAGCATGTGTGGGGGAGAGGGGTAGGAGGAGAGGGGTCGGGTAAACTGTAATTGGTATGTAAAATAAATGAAAAAAAAAGTTAATAAAATAAAATGAAAAGAACTCTCCCTGTCATTATTTGCAGCCTGGCAGTTCAGACACGTAAGTAAAACTTGCATAATACACTAACAAGGGAATGAAAAGTATCTTTAAAGCAGATTTTGAAACCACCCTTGGTTTGAGGCTCTGGTGTGTGGATTCGCAAATGTCCACTGAATGAAGACTCAGAAGTGCCTTAACAATGAATGTAGCTGGGCCGGGCGGTGGTGGTGCACGCCTGTAATCCCAGCACTCGGGAGGCAGAGGCAGGTGAATCTCTTTGAGTTTGAGACCAGCTATCAGGGACTATGGGGGTCCAGCCCCTCGATAGTCCCCTCCCAGGGTCCGGGAAGAATCTACAAGCAGCTGATAATCTTTGATGAAATGAATATATGTACATGAAACTCCTTAGTCCATATACTTTATTATTCTGTGACAGCTATAAGCTTATATTCTGCTCTCATATTTAGGTCATCTTTAGCCTGATTGCTCTCTACACTTGTCTGCGATCCCCTCTAGGTTCTGTCTTAATTCCTTCATCTAATTCTGCCCCTTCTTGGTTCTCATCCACTTTGTTCCTTCCCATATCATCTCCTCTCCTGTCTCCTCTCTCCTCTTCTTGTTCTACTTCATCTTGTTCTTCCCCATCTGGCTCTTTCTCATCTTCCATCTCGTTCCTCTAGTACTCTCCTGTAGCCCTTCAATCTACTTCTTCCCCATCTCAGTTTGTTCCTCTCAAGTTCTTACCCATCTAGTTCTTCCATTCTCTTTTCTCTTCTCCTCTTGTGCCCTGGA